TAATAATTATTAGTATTTTTATATGCAAGTGGAAAAATACAGAAAATTAGCAGAAAATGACAGAAATTAAAGATTTTGTATTTTTACCTATTATAAGTAGTATTGACCCCTTGACATGCAATGACGTCATTCATTTCATGTGCCATTGTAGACTTTGACGTCTCCGAGACGTCAAGAACTATCTTCGGCGAACGCTGCGCTATATATTATTAGATTCTTTAACTATTTCAGTCGTGCGTCGATGCTATTTAATGCTTATGTCTTATATTTCAAGTTGCCTACTTCACAAAAGCAATCGATCGTGAATTTTCGATTGAATATTGCAGAAGATATGCTCTGTAATTTGTCCCTTCCGAACCCTTTGCACTCGAGAGGCAGCTTTCAGTCGCCATTTGTTAAAATTTCGAAGCTCGATATTAATTAATATATCAAATTTAAAATAATATAACAGTGTGCGAGGTATTGAAATTAAATAATTCTACTTATTAAGTTATTACACGATTTCTTCTTTCTTTTTCTGAGAGAATTTTTACATTTCTTCTTCTTCTTTTATTTTTAATTTTTACTTCTATATTGTTTAGATTAATTTCGTAATTACTGGTAAAATAGACGTTTATTCGATGGTCATGATCATTGAAATTATCATCCTCCTTTTCTTCTTCTTTTTTTTGAGAGAGAGAATTTTACCATTTCTTTTTCTTATTTTATTTTTAGTTTTTAATTTTTACTTTCCCTCCTGTGTCAGAGTGTATAACATCATTTATTACAAAGTTTCATGTGTTTTTAGATAATTTTCAAGCTAATATTGGCCATCTTTGTTTACAATCAACCCTTTGCACTCGACGATTTTTTGGCTAGAGAAGAGTTGAAATTCAAAGATTCTCTACTAAAAAATTGACGATACTTTTTTAAGCAGTAAATAAAGAATTATATAATAACAGAATTGTAGAATTATTTGTTACCATCCTCCTTTTCTTCTTCTTCTTTTTCTTCTTTCTTTTTCTGAGAGAATTTTTACATTTCTTCTTCTTCTTTTATTTTTAATTTTTATAATTTTTACGTTTATATCATTCAAATTAATTTCGTAGATACCGATGGAATAAAATGTTCGTTCTACCACAGAAATTCAAATTTCTCGAGAATTTTTGAAGCTCTCGCTTCATGAAAATACGTTGAACTTGAGGAATACCGAGGAGATGAAATTCTATCTGCTCACCCTAATATCCTCGGAATTTTCCAAATTTATTATTCCCTATTTATAAAGTAATATCACTTGCCTCGAAATGGCCGAGATAATTCCTGATTAAAATTCGCAAATACTCGACGAAACTCGAGTCTCTGGCAAAGAAATCGATGAAACGTGGAAGTTTCGCGCGCTTTCAGCACGCTGCGCCGAAAATCGCTCGTTCGTGCCCTCTTGGAGTTGCCGATTTTCCATAACTCGCTTATCTACACCGCCATTAGCCGGCTATCTACGGCCGAAGGAAAATACAGCCGGCATTTTGTTTTACGAGCTAGATAAGCGCATTATCGTTCGGCCTCCGAAGAAACGTGTCGATCTCCGGAGCACGGTGGTCGCGAATTCAAGGAATTTTTATTTTCCAACGGGAATTAATCGAAAGTTGCCATGAAAGTAGCTTTAACCATTTGCGGTTGATGCCCCTGCAGAGGGGACGCTATTTCTTATTCATTTCGAATTTTTAGCCAAAAAATCGTCGAACGTAAGGGGTTAAAAGTAACCAAGAGAGTACATTTATATTGAAGAAGAATGTCTTCCGTTGTAAGATCGATGACAGTTATAGATTCCTCGTGTGTGAGAGTATATAAGTTCATTTATTACAATGTTTCTCGAATTTTTAGATAATTTTCGAGCTAATATTGGCCATCTTTGCTCCCGATCATACTAAACAATTTTCTTCGACGTGATCTTTTTGTCTATTTACTGCTCAAAAAATATCATCGGCCTTATAGCAGAAAATTTTTCAAGTCGCACCCTTCTTTAGCCAAAAAATCGTCGAACGTAAGGGGTTAAAAGTAACCAAGAGAGTACATTTATATTTAAAAAGAATGTCTTTCGTTGCAAAATCGATGACACTTATAAATCCCTTGTGTGTCAGAGTATGTAAGATGGTATATTACAATGTTTCACGTATTTTTAGATAATTATCGAGCTAATATTGGCCATCTTTGCTCACGATGATACCGAGCAATTTTCTTCGACGTGATTTTTTTGTCTATTTACTGCTCAAAAGATATCATCAGCCTTATAACAGAAAATTTTTCAACTCGCACCCTTCTTTAGCCAAAAAATCGTCGAACGTAAGAGGTTAAAAGTAACCAAGAGAGTACATTTATATTTAAAAAAAATGTTTTTCGTTGCAAAATCGATGACACTTATAAATCCCTTGTGTGTCAGAGTATGTAAGATGGTATATTACAATGTTTCACGTATTTTTAGATAATTATCGAGCTAATATTGGCCATCTTTGCTCCCGATGATACCGAGCAATTTTCTTCGACGTGATCTTTTTGTCTATTGATTGTAAATAAGAAATTGCGAAAAATCTATGGGTAATTGCAACGCGCGAGAGAAATAGCGTGCAAGAGGAAGACATCAGCGTTCCCTTTCTTCTTTTTCGCGCTTCTTTGCTTTTTAGCGTGTCGTTAAATCGCAGTTCTCTTTGCTCCTCGAACATTATCTCCAGTGTCGAGTAAATTGTTTGTCGGTTAATTGGCAAAAGGAGCAGCGCGATCCTTGACATTTAAGTTTCATTAAATATTTAACGGGTAATTTAATTTGAAGACCGGTCGGTTTAATATAATAAGACGTTTTCAGGCTCCGAACAACCCTGCCAGAACTCACGGTAATCTCTGTTTTTCAGGTCCTCTCGGCCCTGGACATCCTTCAGCCACCGCACCTGGACTTCTTCCAAGAAATGTATCCTTTTCTATACATCTCGGCAACGCGGTACAAACAGGTTTGTCTTTCGGAGAAGTCCGAAAACTGCTGATTCTCTTACGGCGACCCGTGTTTCCGGGACTCCGCGCCCCTTCCCTATGGGAATAAGTCCCCGAAACCCGGGGTGAGGAATTTTTCGTTCAGAGTATCGCGATTTTAGGCTCCGTGTTCCGCCATCGCGCAGTCCGAGTTACGACCCTTTTTATTTCCTGCCCGCCATTTCTCTTATCGGGCCTGGTAAAAGTTTCGCGATCTTCGATGTCGCGTAAGGGCGAACGGAAATTGCGATAATACGGATTACGAGGGAACAATGGGAATTTATTCCCAACTTCCTTCCATTCTGTACTATTCCCCTGTGCTGAATCCGAATCGACCTTTTCCGCGTTCACCAAAGAAATATTCCAAGGATAGGAATTTTCTCCGATACTTTTGTCAGCTATGCAGCATCTTCCGCGAGATCAGAAATTGTACCAGAAACACTGAAAATCACGGGGTAGGACAATAGTGGTAGGTCTGTCACGTACTGTGAAAGCTATGATTCTTGACAAATATTGGAAATATTAGGAGATACGAAGCTTATATATATGTAGGAATATTGGGTAAGCAACAGGGTAAGCAGATGCAAATATAAAAATGATTTATTCTAAACTAACCCTTTACGCTCGACGAATTTTTGACTAAAGAAGGGTGTGAATTGAAAAATTTTCTGCCATAAGGCCGATGATATTTGTTTAACAGTAAATAAGAAATTGTGGAAAGATGCAATAATTAACACGTAGAATTAGTTAATTTCGATACCCTGCACACTGTTACATTTTTAGAATTTGATATATTAACCCTTTGCACTCTGCGACTTTTTCGTTACAGGAAGATAGTAATTCGAAGACTCTGCCATAAGGTCGACGATATTTCTAAAACTGTAAATAAGAATTGTATGCAAATTGAGACGTAGAGTTCCTCGACTGCTACTTATTTTAAAGAATTTTGGTTACCGATTATATTAAACATAGCTCTCAAATATTGTTATTTATATTTGGAATTTAAGTGATTCGAGTAGTTACTTATTTTCTGCTTTCTTCTTCAGTAAATAAGGAATCAACAAACGTCGAGTGTAACTCGACATAGGAGTTCCTGTGATAAAAATTAACTTAGAATCACTCGATAAAGGAGTGCAAAGTATTAATACTGTTTCCTTTGTTAGAGTCCTTCCCAGCTGGCAATACCACATATATTTCCAAACTTATTGTTCCCATCGAAATAAACCAGCGAGATATCCTCGAAGCAAAAGTCACCCCTTGGATCCTGATGAAGATTCGACCCTGTTCTCTCCACCCCATGCCTACTTCTCCGCGCGTTCTCAGGCTTTGTCTCTCCTCCGGGACTATGGGGGCGAAGAGGGAAAGTGAGAGATGGAAGGGAGGATAGGAAACGGACGCGAGGATGCGATCGCTCGATCGGATCACGCGAAGTCGACGATCCGGCCGACGCGTCCGCGAGGATCTTCCAGCACTTAACCCGTTCCTCGTGGATTTTTCAATCGGCGCGGAAGCCAAGCGCACGCAACGCTCGTCTGAAACGACGCGGAAACTTTTAATCGAGCCAGCTCCGTGGCAGCCAGCAATTAAAGCGTAGGAGGAGGGTTACCGCGATCGAGCAGCGATCCAGCGAGATCCGCGTGTAAACCGCTCGATCGGTGAACCGACGTTTTCCGCTCCCCTTTATCTCCTTTCTTATTATTCAACCGTAGGATCTCGGTTGTTCCTCTGGTTTCTTCTTTTCTCCCTCTTTTTCCCCTTCTTTTCCGTCCCACAGAGGGAGAACAGGAACGGTAATAACAGGGAGGACAAAAGGAAAGAAACGGCGAGAACGGTTGCCTCGAGGAGACTCATGGCTAGGGTATTACGAGGTGTCTGGTAACGATGCAGCAGAGATAGACGCTCTTTCGGCTGTGGTTTCGTAGGAGATTCGATAATGGAGGTTGTTCGGTTGCGTTTCCAGGCTCCGTGAATCGCTAGACGCTGTCAACTGACTAGGAACCTCGATGCAGTTATTGCGCGTTCGAGAAAAGATGGCATAGAGTGTATTTACATCCTCAGGATTAGTTAACACTAGGTTTACAAACGCCTGTAATAGGTATCTGTATACCTATTTTTAAGGGCACCTGTCAAATTGACAGGTAAAGGAAACTACGTGCCTTTTTTTTAATGATTAGTTTAATTTAAAAGCAATTATATGTTGTATTAACAGTCTTAATATAAGTTAATTAAATCTGTTACCATCGTATAATTAGAGCAATCCATCTGTCAAATTGACGAGTTCCGTAAATCTAATGTTAACTCCGTTGACACTCTCTTGACACCCGCTTGAACACAGACAGTGACCGCTATTAGCCCAAAACGGTGACAAAGGTCGCTGTTATTGACCAAGTATTGCGTTTTATTTGAGCTAGCTTTGCGCATTGCGCGGTTCTTGCCATTCCTCGCCATTTGACATAGTGGCAGATGTGGTTATTCTCATCTGCCATTGAAGCAGGCATGGTCCAACCAACGGGGAAGTCAACTCAACACTTGACTCCGTTGTCAGCCGTATGAGAACACTTTGGAGAGGTACCCGATATGAGCGTATTTCTCTTGGGCCACTTCGGGTCTGGCGGGATATGAGATCCAACCGTTGGCATCCATGACTCGTACTGTCTTTGACCAATAGCAGTCACTGCCTGCCTTCTTTCATCGAACGCACTATACGAACCATAGCTCTCGCAGGATATTCCAAATAATGGTATAAAAATGAAAATCTACGTGCCACAGTGACATAAAGTTGACATAACAAATCAGAAATAGGTAATGAAGCGAAAATCGAATATCACGAACCCCAAAAAATCCAACAGAGAAGAATGTGGAACAAAACCGAGCCAGGAAGTCTGGAATGCACAGTACCTGCTGATAGCGGACTCACGTAGACTCGTGTTAAAGTCTATCACGTCTCATGAAAATGACGCAAAGTGCCAAATTGTGCTGATGACATTCGCTCCTAATCCATCCATAGACAGCAAACCTGTCGATCTCTGTTGTGACGACAAATTTCGCGTAACGACTAATTTCATTCGAAGCAACGAGCTGTTAAGACATGTCTTTGACAGTGTTTGACTCACGAGTCGGTTTCCATTGGTGAGAAAATTCCAGAGGAATTCCAGTGTCAGGCTAAGATCTGGATACAGGATCCTCTTGCTCGGAGAGCATGCCACCCAAGGAGAAGGACGATGAATTGAGCCAGGAAACCTTGGAGTTTGGAACGGTAGTCGATGGTGGCCGTGCCAGGAAGGTCGCGTCCCTCCTCGGGACGAAATTAAGCTGAAAGTTGCGTCGGTGCAGGGCGGAGGGTCGGACACGTGTAGACGAGGAGGTAACCCAATAAATCTCGAGGCTCTGTTCTCGCGTTACGAACGCCGGAAGATCAATAACGGAGTGGCGGAACGGTGGCGTGCTCCGTCACGTTCCACGACGAGGAAGAAGCTTAATTTTAAGGTGAAACCCCGTGACTCCACCCATTATTCGAAACTCCGACGGTCTCTGTCTACATGACGGGCCAGCCCGGGCGAAATTTGCCGGAGGAACGGGAAAAGGACGAAGATGCCTGGACACGGAGAACGAGAGGAGAGACAGAGTATCCGTAGCCCGGTCCAGTCCGGGTTCCTTTGAGATATCGTCGAATAACCGCGACGTGTCGCCACGTTCGTGACCTCCGCGGTTTCGTAACGATCTCGTAACGAAAAGTGACGCGCACAGAGCCGAGAACAAACGGTGCTTCCACGTAACCAGCGAGCAATCTGCACGTAACCGACCGGCCGCTTACGTAAGACCGCTGGCCCGCGAGAGGAAGTCTCCTGCGCGCTCATGCTCCGGAAGGGATTGCGAACGGACGTGCCGCAGATTCGCAACGGAGGCCTGCATTTGACGCGACCCGAGAAATCCTCCGCTTTTAGAAACCCGCTCAGCTCCTACGCTTTCTACCTCGTCCTAATTTATATACTCTGACTTGCTCGCCATTCGTCCGCCAACAGTTCGCTGTCAATTTCGATGGTGCATTTTTTAGGAGTTTTATTGCGTGGAGAGGGAGTCGAGGTTTGACAGAATCTTGCAGCAAATTGCGATTCGTCGAGAAATAGTTTGCTGTCAATTCCGACGGTGCATTTATTTGGGTTTTTATTGCGTGGACAGGGAGTCGAGGTTTGACAGAATCTTGCTGCGAATCGCTATTCGTGTACGAACAGTTCGCTGTCAATTTTGACGGTGCATTTTTTAGGGTTTTTATTGCGTGGACAAGAAGTCGAGGTTTGACAGAATCTTGATGCAAATTGCGATTCGTCCACGAACAGTGCGCTGTCAATTTTGATGGTGCATTTATTTGGGTTTTTATTACGTGGATAGGAAGTCGAGGTTTGACAGGATCTTGCTGCAAATCGCAATTTGTTTGCGAATAGTTTGCTGTCATCTTCGACGGTGCATTTATTTGGGTTTTTATTGTATGGGCAAGAAGTCGAGGTCTGACAGAATCTTTCTGCGAATCGCGTTTCGTCTGCGATCAGTTCGCTGTCAATTTCGACGGTGCATTTATTAGGATTTTTATTGTATGGACAAGAAGTCGAGGTCTGACAGAATCTTTCTGCGAATCGCGATTCGTCTGCGATCAGTTCGCTGTCAATTTCGACGGTGCATTTATTAGGATTTTTATTGTATGGATAAAAAGTCGACGTTTGACAGAATCTTGCTGCAAATCGCGATTCGTCCAGAAATAATTTGCTGTCATCTTCGACGGTACATTTATTTGGGTTTTTATTGCACGGGTAAGAAGTCGAGCTTTGACAGAATCTTGCTACAAATTGCGATTCGTCCATGAACAGTTCGCTGTCAATTTCGACGGTGCATTTATTTGGGTTTTTATTACGTGGATAAGAAGTCGAGGTTTGATAGAATCTTGCT